TAAGATTTAGATACCTAAATCACTTAAGCACTTTTGAAAATTTTACTTTTACCTTAAGTGTGGAAGAAAAACGGAAGAGAACTACAAGTAAAGGAAAAAAATGTTACATAACTGTATCAAGTGACAATCAAATTTAAGATGTTATTCTCTACTGTGACTACAGTGCAGTGCCAGGAAATAAGAGAGTGGCCAAAAAACGTGATAAAACCAGTGGATTAGTTTCCAGGCTACACAGATGTGCAACGCTACATTGCAGAGGACAGGACAACATCCTATATTTGCCATATCTCTTACCTTCAGTTACATTTAGGTCCTCTTTCACTGATGCTCGGTAGAATCTTAACTTTAACTTTTTTGCCAATGCTTCTGCCTCTTCACTGCACAACAGAAAGACTTGTAAATACTGATTTGTATATTATGCCAGTGTTTATCAATACTGTACACAAAATTCTTTGGAATTAATTCAGTCAGAAGATCAGGTGAGGAGGTAGCTACTCTTTAATTACTTTATGACCTGTCCACTTTAACAATGAGATGTTTTGTTGGAGCATTCCTTTTCAATTTAGAGTTGTTACATTTTCACGTCTATTTGATTATGTTTTAAAAAAACCTCCCTGGCAGTAGCGAGATGGGTGTCATAAAAGCCAAAGGGAAGGAGGTTGCAACTAATCAAGACAGCAGATTAGGAGGGCCTGAATGAAAATTTTAGTAGTGTGGACAGGAGACAAGGAAGATCTTAGAGATTGTCTTACTGGAGTAGAGAGGGGGGGAAACCAGATTGGAAGGGACCAAAGAGCTGGAAAAAGTAAACCTGAGGCAATGAGTTTAGAGATGAAAGGCAGAAGACAGGGCAGTAGCTAGAAAGGGATGAAGGGTTTTGGGGGGTTTGTTAAAGTAAGTGGGAGACCACATTATGTTTGTATTGTGAGGTGAAAACTTGAGAGTGAAATTTTAAGGAGTTGAGGGAGGGCATGAGAACTGGGACAAGGGATGTCATGAGGTGGGAAGGGATGAAGAGGAAGGTTTACAGAAGTAAAAGAGGTGAGAAACCTCAGTGTTGGTGACATGGATGAAAGAGGAGGTCACATTTGATCTTGTTTATTTTCTCTTTGAAAATCAGTAATATCCTGTGTGGGTGAAGGAAGGGGAAGTTGAGCTTTAGGAGGATATCAAAGGGAGAGAACAGGCAGCGAGGACAGTCAGTGTAGGAAACAATGAGAGGGAGAAGTAGTTTAGCTAGACCAGGAAAACTGCAGAACTAAAGGAGGGGAGACTGAATTAATAGTAGAAGTATTCAGCATGGTCATTCAACTTTCTCCATAGGCACAAATAGGAGTAGAGGAAGTGGATGCTGGGGGCAATGCGAGTTGCAATTTCTGAGTTTGATTCCAGGGTGAGGGAGAGCGTGGAATAGAATGAATTGACACCTCAGTCTACGGAGGAGACAGCAGGGAAGAGGGAGCTGAGAGTGACTGAGTTTGTGGATGTTAATGGGTTGTAAATTTCTATAATACGGAAATACAGTACTTTGATAAAACATGAGTATATGAAAGAACAATTTAAAGAAGAGAAAACAAAAGCAAACATGTAAAGGCACATTTTAAAAATCTGTTTAACCCAGTTTGGCAACTGTGTGCATTCACTAACCAAACCAGAGTATATAACGTGGTTGGGCTACAACTAAGTTTAACAACTGTTGTAAAGTTTGGGCTGCAGAGAAGGCATATTTTACAGCTCCCTGAGTACAAAATGGAGTAATTTCTCATTGTGGCCCAACCAGACTACTTACGGGGTTCCCTGCTCATTTTTGAAGGTGTTTAGAAAACAAAAGAAAAAAAAAGAAAACTTGAAGTGAGCACTAATTCCCCAATCTAGAAAACACATAAGTACATGAGTAACTTTACTCATGGGAGTAGCACCGCTGAGGTTTGTGGAATTATCCAAGTGTGGTTGCAGAATTAGGCCCTAGGTTTGGAAATTTAGTAAACATACGATTACATGAGTCTTCACCATCAACTCCCATAGATTTTGAAAAAATAAAAGACTGCAATAAATCCTCTGATTTCAAAAGACAATATGATGAAATGCCTACTTCTTTATACAAGAATCATCCAGGAGGTCAATCTTATTCTGCACAAGCACCGTGGGGATGTCTCCAACTTCGGCCACGACTTTCTCCTTCCAGGTGGGGATTGTTTCAAAAGAATCCCTGTCAGTGGTAGAAAATACAAGCACACAAGCCTGGGCTCCTAAAAACAAAGACAATTATCAATTTAGTAAGAGAAAAATAAAGAAACCTATAAAAAGGTATTTGGGATATGGTGGCTTTTCATTTTATTTCAGACGGGCAGAGTTTTATTACTGTATTGTGTCAAAATGATGGTTAGGGAGCCTTAAAGTAAGAATAATAGACTGTCATCTTATTTTGGTCATTAATACTGTTCTTCAAGATAGTTGTCATTCTGCTACCTTTCAAGCTACTCCAGCAGGCAGAGAAAGATGGGGAGGGGAAGAGAGAGAGAGAGAGAGACAAAGGTCTGTCTGTTGCTCATTTTTACTAATATGGGAGGCTTCTCAGATACTACAGTAAGGGCCATATATATACCTAGGTAATCTTTAATATCTGTAAAGATACTTCATATTGTAAGTATGCCATCTACTTCTGAGATTTGTTACATTTAGGTTACAAATTCAGGTGAAAAAATGCTGTAGCAATTTGTTTTTTGGAGGTTTTTTGCTTAAAAAGTTAAAATTTTCAGGATTTTGTTTACAAACAAATAATTTTCTCAAAGAGCTTTAAAAAAAGTTAATTTCTAATTCATGCACATTTCCCTCATGTTGTTTTGAAGGAAACGACCAAAATTTTACAGCATTTATACACAGTGGCAGCAACTCTTTTGCTATTGTGATGGTAGTGCCAATGGATTGTCAATCGGCTACTGAACGCGTTACTTGTAAGGTGGCTGACAATCATTACTGAAAATTTGAGTCAATGGTCTTTTGATTATCCAGTGGCACGAAGTCATCAGCAAGCTCGAACACATAGGGAAATACTTGATGGTTTATATTCCTTTCAAAACTTCTGTTTAATAGTTACAATTATAATGCTGGATACTTGTTACCTACATAAATATTTAATATTTTTGTGAGTTCTGCTTGGCCTCAAGAATATCCTGTGGCAGATATCTAACGGGGCACTTTGTGGAAAAATATTTCCTTTAATCAGTGTGAACTTTCCAAGTTTCAGCTTCATTGAATATCCCTTTGTTATTGTATGAGAGCAAGTAGAAGGCCTCAATCTAGTTTTTCTAAACCATTCATTGCTGTGCATACTTTTCTCAGGTCCCCCCCTTATTCATTTTCTTACTAAGGTGAAACAGGCCCAAATTTTCCAATCTGAGGATTTTTCCATGATCCTAATTATTCTCATCGGCAATCTTCAACACCTCTCTATTTCTTTTTTCCTCTACAGTGACAAGAACTACACACAGTATACCAGGTAAGGGCATTCCACTGAGATATATAATGACATTGTATTATTTTCCATATTATTCCCTATCCCAGGGGTCGGCAACCTTTCAGAAGTGGTGTGCTGAGTCTTGATTTATTCACTCTAATTTAAGGTTTCGCGTGCCAGTAATACATTTTAACGATTTTAGAAGGTCTCTTTCTATAAGTCTATAATATATAACTAAACTATTGTTGTATGTAAAGTAAATAAGGTTTTTAAAATGTTTAAGAAGCCTCATCTAAAATTAAATTAAAATGCAGAGCCCCCCCAACCGGTGACCAGGACCCGGGCAGTGTGAGTGCCACTGAAAATCAGCTTGCGTGCTGCCTTTGGCACGCGTGCCTTAGGTTGCCTACCCCTGCCCTATCCTATTCTTTATGTATCCATCATCTTGTTTGCTTTTTTGACCACAGCTACATATTGAGCAGCGGTCTTCATTGAGGTGTCCACAGTGATGTCCAGGTCTTTTTCCTGAGCTGATACAAATAATTTAGAATCAGAAAAATGTATGTGTAGATCAAATTATTCCCTCCAATGTGCATTACCTTGTATTTGTCAACACTGAATTTCATCAGCCTTTGTTGCCCATTCAGCTAGCTTAGTTAGGGGTCTCTGAAGCTTAGAAATGCTACAGGGCAGGCACCTTCTTCTGGAAGCCTCATCTTGCTCAGTTTTAACACAGTTACTGTGGCTACAGAAGCCTTTTAAGGTATCCCCACATCCAGACTGGATTTTCGGGAGACCCCCGCCCCATTTCCTTCTGAATGTTACAGCACAGAGGTGACTTGCAACAACAGGTTTTTGAAGGGAGGGAAGGGTCCTAGAGTGAAGATATGATTTTTCTTTAAGATTGCTGAAATACAGCCCTAAGTTTAACTTGGCATCAGAGTTCACTGAAAACTACTAAAGGCTAGATATAGTCCTTACTCAGGCAAGTCCTATTAATGTCAAAAAGAGTTGGCAGGAATAAAAACTAAGTAGATACCCTTAGGATTTCTCCCCAAGGTACAGAGCTGGTCACCAAATACAAATTACAAGAAGGTAGATTTAGATTAATTAACTCCTCACTCACACCTCTCAAGGCAAATCATCATCCATTTTGATGCTCCTTAACTAGATGGCAAACTACCATACGACATGACACCAATAACAACAGTCACATAGCAGGATCATGCAGAAAGATGGCTGTAGAATCAAACAAGTGTCTATGTCAATGTCTTTCAATTTTTCCACTGAGTGGTATGGCTCACCAGAATTCTTTTAGAAGTCCATTTAAACCGCCATACATTAAGTACTTTAGAGTGACTTACTTTTAAAGAGTGCAATATAGGAGCAAGCTATATTATTTCCACTTTCCAGTTTAGTTTTTTGCTTTTTTTTTTATCCATGATAAATTCTGGTGTTGGAAGGACTTGTTTAGTTGCACATATACAAAAAAGGTTCTGACACCAAATCTTCTCTCTCCCCCACACACACTTTCCTTCTGGCGTCAGAAATCTATCCAGCCATTAGACTAATTATGTTCTATCCTATTTAAATGGCAGCTCTGTGAATTTCGCATTCAATGGCACTTAATGAAGTCAGATATACTGTATGTCTGGGAATAAATACTAAAGAATCTGAAAAGGTTCCCTCCCATTTGGAAAAAAAGAGGAATAATGTCGATAACTGAACTGGTCTTTGCATTGCCGTTACATATAAAACGTCCCTATTATTCAAAAAAGAAAGTTGGTTAGGCCAACTGTATTACACTTTTCTCAAGTTACGTACAAAAATTAAATAAACACCAAGATGTAAAATATAGGGTATTTTTTACCTCTATAATAGGCCTTAGTTATTGCATCAAACTCCTCTTGACCTGCTGTGTCCCACAACATCAGCCTGACCTCTTCATCATTAACTCTGAAATAAATGGAATAAATGTTTCCTCAACACACTGAATACAGAGACTTAAGACTAAAGAGACACTCAAAACAAAGCACACATGTATTAAAAATATTTCTCTTGTTTATAATGTATTTTGGATGAGAATAAAAAAAAATTAAAATTTATTTTTCATCATTGATATGGTTTACTTTTTGGCACTTCATTCTGCTTGGACAGAGAAGAAAAGGCCTAGTCTCAGTCTCTCCATGGCTAGTATGATCTAGTGCAATGCTGTTGAGCTCAAATTTCCAATAGTACAGAAAATGTTCAAAGACAAAAAAAAAAAAAAAAAAAGACAAAAATCATGTTTTTTTAAAATTCATACTGGGTTTTGTAAATCTTGTGTCTTAAAAAGAAAAAAAATGCAAAGAGAACCTATGCTCCCGGACAGTGCTCCTTCAACACATTTATTTATTTATTTTATCTACTTAAGTGATCTGTGAACTTATATTTTTCATTACCTTAATATCTTCCCCTCCTTTAAATATGATTAAATATCATCTGCTTACACTATCAATAATCTAAGAGTCTGAAACAGCTATTTGAAACCATTTTACATACTGAACTCCTGCTTTCATTTTTAACCACATAACTTATAACAAATGTTTCCTTTTTTTAAAACAAGGAATGCAAATAAAAATCAGCAGTTCAACATATACAAACCTTCTTAGAAAAAGTCATCAAGTATGTCTGAAAGTCTGAGTTTTATTTTTTATTTCAAATTATAAATCTCGTACTTGAGTGGAAAACTGAGTGATCCAATTACTGTACATATGCTTCACTTTTAGCCCTGTGAACAAGATGTAAAAAAAAAAAAAAAAAAATCCCCCAGTCTTTAGTCTGGGAGATAGTTTGAATTCCAAATCTCCACATGCCTGCTAATCACAACAGCACTAAGGAAATAAAGGCAGAAGTAGCATGACATCTGCTGAATACATACTGAATTTGTCTCTCCAAGAAATCTACTCCAATAGTTTTCTTGTAGTCTTTTGTAAAAATTCCTTTGCAATATCTCTGAATCATACTGGACTTCCCAACTGCTCCATTTCCTACCACCACCACCTTGATGGCCACTTCCATATCCTCCTCCAACATCTCTGCAGCTGAGAACCTCTAGTTACTTCAGGAGCATGAATTTTATCTCCCAAATCTGTAATTGAAGTAAATATTATGTTCATGAAAATACTGTAAATAGAAAGAGGTCTTGTAAATAGGCACTGGGCTGGACTCTCAAGATCCGGTTTCAATTTCCAGCTCTGCTACAGACTTCTTGTATGACTTTGGGAAAATCACTTTGTATCTCTATGCCTCAATTCTCCATCTATAAAATAGGGCTAAAAATGAGGGCTGTCAATTAATCGCAGCAAACTCGCATGATTAACTCAAAAAAATGAATCATGATTAAAAAAATTAAGCACCATTAAATCGCATTGTTAAACAATAGAATACCAATTGGTATTCTATTAAATATTTTTGGATGTTTTTTATATTTTCAAATATATTGATTTCGATTACAACACAGAATACAAAGTGTACAGTGCTCACTTTATATTATTATTTTGGATTACAAATATTTGCACTGTAAAAATGATAAAAGAAATAGTATTTTTCAATTCACCTCATACAAGTACTCTTTATTGTGAAAGTATAAATTACAAATGTAGATTTTATTTTTGTTACATAACTGCACACAAAAATAAAACAATGTAAAACTTTAGAGCCTACAAGTCCACTCAGTCCTGCTTCTTGTTCAGCCAATCGCTAAGATAAACAAGTTTGTTTACATTTATGGGAGATACTGTTTCCTGCTGCTTATTTACTATGTCACCTGAAAGTGAGAACAGGCATTCGCATGGCACTTTTGTAGCCAGCATTGCAAGATATTTATGTGCCAGATATGCTAAATATTCGTATGCCGTTTCATGTTTCGGCCACCATTCCAGAGGACATGCTTTCATGCTGATGATGCTCGTTTAAAAAAAAATACTGTTAATTAACTTTGTGACTGAACTCCTTAGGGGAGAACTGTGTGTCTCCTGCTCTGTTTTACCCACATTTAATGTTATAGCAGTCTCAGATGATGACCCAGCACGTTTGTTTTAAGAACACTTTCACTGCAGATTTGACAAAACGCAAAGAAGGTACCAATGTGAGATTTCCAAAAACAGTTACAGCACTCGACCCAAGATTTAAGAATCTGAAGTGCCATCCAAAATCTGAGAGGAACGAGGTGTGGAGCATGCTTTGAAAAGTCTTAAAAGAACAACACTCCAATGCAGAAACTACAGAACCTGAACCACCAAAAAACAAAATCAACCTTCTGTTGGTGGCATCTGACTCAGAAGATGAAAAAGAACATGCGTCAGTCCACTCTGCTTTGGATCGTTATCGAGCAGAACCCATCATCAGCATGTGCTCTGGAATGGTGGTTGAAGCATGAAGGGACATATGAATCTTTAGCACATCTGGTACGTAAATATCTTGCGACGCTAGCTACGACAGTGCCATGTGAACACCTGTTCTCACTTTCAGGTGACTTTGTAAACAAGAAGCGGGCAACATTAACTCCTGCAAATTGTAAACAAAGTTGTTTGTCTGAGTGATTGGCTGAACAAGAAGTAGGACTGAGTGGACTTGTAGGCTCTAAAGTTTTACATTGTTTTATTTTTGAATGCAGTTTTTTTGTACATAATTCTACTTTTGTAAGTTCAACTTTCATGATAAAGAGATTGCACTACAGTACTTGTATTAGGTGAATTGAAAAATACTATTTGTTTTTTACAGTGCAAATATTTGTAATAAAAAATAAATATAAAGTGAGTACTTTATACTTTGTATTCTGTGTTATAATTAAAATCAATATATTTGAAAATGTAGAAAACATCCACAAATATTTAAATAAATGGTTTTCTATTATTATTTAGCAGAGCGATTAATTGTGCAATTAATCACAGTTAATTTTTTAATCGCTTGACAATCCTAATAAAAATACTTCCTTTGTCTGTCTTGCTTATTTAGATTGAACTGTTAAGGGCGGGGATGGTCTCTTACTATGTTTGTACCAAGCCCAGTACAATGGGCTCCTATCTCTGTTTGGGTTTCTAGGCACTACCAAGAGACAAATAATACATAGCAGTAGTAACAACAACAGGGCAGCACTGAAAGCACATTGTTTTCACAAAAGATGATAAAAGTTTAGCATTATTTCTATTCTAACATGTACTTTGTGTAAACTCTGAAAATAAGTTATGTTGCTATGTGCCACAAGCTGTTTGTGAAACTAGAGCTACTATTAATCTTAAGCAACTTTACAAATCTGCTATTTGGCAAATAGACAATCTACAGTGTGTTGCCTTATGAAAAGGAAGAAATGTGCATCCAAAATATACAAAGGCAAATACATGAGTTTTTGGTGTCTTTTGTTTTTACAGTTAGAAACTTAACTGAATTTGTGGTATCCTATTGACAGAATTTATCCTTGGCAGCCTCCAAGCCAACAGCTGCCTAAAATGAGAGTTTACGGAAAAAAGAGCTTTTGGTCTCAGCAGGTTGGGAATCATATCCTTCTATTATGCAAATACCTGCATTTTGGTTACAAGAGATGTATTTAGCTTAAACTGCTCAGATTCTATTTCTAATAGGTATACCAGGCCTGATACTGCTTCCAATAAAATCATTTTAGACTTTTGCCATTGACCTCAATAAGAACAGGATTAGGACCTAAATTCACACCTATTTCCCCTATCTCTGCTGCTAATACCCACATATGTATCTCACATGGATTCTTCAGGAAATGTTTGACTATACAATTAGTAAGTTTTTTATTCCAAAGCCTTCTATTGATTCTTGTTAATCTGTCTGAATAGCAATTCTTTCCCAGGGAATGAACAAATACCACTTTCAGGCAAGTTTAGGCACTGAAATTGTTTACTTATCCTTTGACATAGTAATAAGCGTTCACCAAGATGCAAGTTATTTATTATAGTATATTTAAAAATAATATGTGGGATTGTGTTGTCATATTTGTACAGCAGCTTTATATTAAGCAGAATTTTCTTTCAAACAATTTTTATAATGTTATCATGATACTGCACTTACTTCACAATAGCTTCTATGCTTTCTCAATTTTGTATTTTCTTCCGTAAAAATATTAGGGAATTCTGAATTATTTTATATCAAGAAAATAACTGAAGTCAAACTTGAATTTAAAGAATGTCTTCTCCTCAAAGTTCAAATCAAAAGTGAAGTGATTAAGGAATAATTACCATGTAAACCCATGTGAAAGTTATTATTTGTATTGTGTTAGCACCCACACTGAGCTAGGTATTGTCCACTATACACAGGCTGCCCCGTTAGAAAGTTTTAAAAAAATCAAGGTAACTTTGGTATGTTACCAAAATAAGCTGCATCACTGCAAACTCAGCTTTGCTCTGGGGCAGCACCTCTTCATTACAAGTTTACACCAGCGTAATGGCAATGATGCAAATTTCCATAGTTGTAAACAGGACCAAATTACTAGAGTAAATAGGCAAAGCTCACAGACAGATTTTTAATAATGTGCAGCTCTTGCATGAACTAAATTTCTAACATGAAAGCACAGAAAAAATGTAAAGTTGAACATGTTCTGAACATGCTTCATTCTGAGGTTGCAACAAGTACGTCACATACACTTGAAATTAGCAGAGGGTTGTGGTGAACAAACCTGAACTTATGCCCATAAACTGCGAAGTCTCCTATGAGTAATGAAAGCACTGCTTTTTGCAATATTTGGATATTATAAAATTAATAACAAGCATTTTGATAGTATTAAGTACCTCTTGTGAGAAGTATTTCCCCATTTTTTTTACAGAAGGGAAAATAGAGTGATAAAGGGACTTGTCCAAGGCCACACACTGGCAGAGCCGGAATGCCTGATCCCCTCCCCTCTTCGCATCCATGTAAGCAGTGGCACCACAAGGATTGCAAAAGTGTGGGGGCCAGGCTTGGCCTGGCTGCCCCTCCATCATGACTATGGGACAGCTGGGCCAAATTTCAGTGAGTGGCATTGTGACCCGGTGCACAGGTTTGCAATGCCACTCAAAATTGGCCCAGCGCCCGCCCCCTGACATGACAGAAGGGTGGCCAGGCCAAGGGAAAGGGTTTGTTGTTACACCACCCAGCTCTGGTCGGGGGCTAAGGGACAGGGGCATTGTGCCGCTTCTGAGTTCAGGTTCTCAAAATAGGGGGCATGCCCCACATTTAAAAAGTGTGAAGGGATGGCTCTTTAGTTCTTCCATCTCCAGGACCCCTGCATGTAAGTAATATCTAAGGGTATGTCTACACTACAGGATTAATCCGAATTTAGATAATTCGAATTTGGGAAACAGGTTGTATAAATTCGATTGTGCGCGGCCACACTAAGCACCTTAATTCGGTTTTAAACCACATTAATTCGGTGGTGTGCGGCCACACTACCCCATTAACTTAAACACAGTAATTCGGTGGTGTGCGTCCACACTAACCCTAATTCGAATTAACAAAATCGATTTAGGCTCTACTCCGTTCGTCGAGGTGGAGTACAGAAATCGATTTAAAGGGCCCTTTAATTCGAATTAACTGGCTCTGTAGTGTGGACGGGTGAAGGGTTAATTCGGATTAAGGCAGCTAAATCCGAATTAAAGTCCTAGTGTAGACCAGGCCTTAGTACCACTATACTATCTATTATTGTAGTAAATATAGTTATGACACATATATATACATTTTTAGGGAATAATCACAAAGAATAGCTAAAATTCCAAGTAAACTGAAGACACTGGAAGCTGTCTTGTCATTTTCAGTCACTGCTTATACTCTATACAGAAAGACATTTATCTGGGAGAACTGTCAAGGTGTCTGCACAAACAAAACTGTAGAGTCCAAACGCTTGTACATTGGCTTTCTAAAGGATGCTTAGGCTGGTCCCAAGTGTAACTGTGATAAATCCTACGCTTCCCCATTGCAGCAATACCGCTCTTAAGGGAACAGGATGATGATCCCAGCTGGTTTCATACATGCTGCCTCCTTAACCCCTCCCTATGTTGTTCTCTTCAGGGCATTTCCACACTCACTCGCTTCCCTTCCCTAGGTAAATCAAGCTCCCCCACACAAGCCACTTTCCTTCCCTACCGAGGCCAGGACAAGCCAGCCCGCATACGCAGCGCCCCGGCCGGGGTAACCAAACCATAGCGCGTCCGCCCAAACTGCACTGCAGGGCCCTGCCCACCACCCACAGTGCGACCCCACGGCGCCCAGCACCCATCCCCACCGCCGTGTAGCATCCTCCCAGAGCAGGGTGACCCGACCCTGCAGGGGCTGCCAGCCCCACCGGCGACAGCAACAGCACCCCCCTCCCCCAGGAGTAACCGAGCCGGGCGCGCCCAGCCCGCGTCTCCTCCCATCGCCACCCCGACACCGGCCCCGAGAGCCTCACCCGGCTCCGCGCTCCCCCCGGCATCCCAGCGGGCCCGAGCCCGCTCCCCAAACCCGGCACCCGACTCCCGCAACCCAGCCCCGCCCCGCCTCCGGTGCTGCACCCCAGCCGCGCCCCGCACACCCGCCCCAGGGGCTCACAGACCCGCTCGGAGGCGCTGGCCCTGGGAAGCTGGGGGGCCGCTGCAGGCTGAGCGGCTGCGGCTGCGGCTGCGGCTCCGTCTCGGAGACCGGGAGGCGGGAGGAAGCCGCGCAGCGGAGCCAACCCAACCCGGACGCACATCCCGGCTCCCGCACCCGGAAACACCGTCAGGGCCGCGGGCTCGGCGCGGAGAGGTCCCCGCCCGTTGCCTCCGCCTCCCCAAGCGGCTGCAGCCAGCGACAGCGGCGGCCCCTGCGGCCGCTACGCAGGGAGTAAGGGGGAGCGAGCAGGGCCCCCGGGCTTCCCTCGCTGTGGTCAGCCGCTGAGGTGGACCTGGGTTGTGGCTCCCGAGGTGGTTGCCTCCAGGGTTCTGGTGCACGCCCGTTATAGAAACTAGAACCGGCTGTTGAGTGTGGGATTAAACTACAACAATCACTAAAGTAATGGAGGAGAGAAGGTGGGCGGGCGCTGCTCATAGCTGGGGATTTGGCTCATGGAGAGAGCTGATCTGAATGCTTGAAAACTTTCACAAAGGTAGATGAATCCTCCCCAAATGCCAGAGGAAGAGTCAGCGTAAGCCCTGCCTAATCCCCAGTCTAGTGGTCTCCCGTATCTACCTCACCATCCAAAAGAGTGAGATGGTATAGGTGGACTGGGACTGCATGAGGTTGCCCTCACTAGACTTTGTGCCTTGAATTAATGGATTATCATAGAAGATTAGGATTGAAAGAGACCTCAGGAGGTCATATAGTCCAATCCCCTGCTCAAAGCGGGACCAACACCAACTAAATCATCCCAGCCACGGCTTTGTCAAGTCGAGCCTTAAAAACCTCTAAGGATGGCGATTCCACCACCTCCCTAGGTAACCCATTCCAGTGCTTCACCACCCTCCTAGTGAAATAGTGTTTCCTAATATCCAACCTAGACCTCCCCCGCTGCAACTTGAGACCATTGCTCCTTGTTCTGTCATCTGCCACCACTGAGAACAGCCTAGCTCCATCCTCTTATCAGGGAACTCAAGGCACCTAATGCATTTGTAGAGGCTAGTCTGGACACTGACCACTCCTTCCTTCTAGGCGTCACATGTGTGATATGTAAGGACCAGTCTAGGGCCCCTCAAAAGTCTAGTAGATATAAACCCTGTGGTGCTTTCTGTCTCCAGAGTAAACAATATGGAGAATCAGACCCTCATATTGAACCTGCTCACTTTCATGCCCTTTCAAAAAATACCAGACAAGGGGAGAGAAACTATTTTATGACTAAAATCTCAAATGTGCTAATATCTGAACATAGAGACAAGTGAAGAATTGTTTTGTTATGCTATTAAAATGTGTTCAGTGTGTGACCCTAAACCTTATTTGCACACTATACAAACCCTGCTTTGAAATCTGAATTATGAATTTCTTTATGGTTTTTTATGGTGCTTATCACTGTAGCATTGGAGTGCTGTACAGATACAAATGAATTTATTTTCGCAACACATGTGAAGTAAGGTGGTATTATTATACCCAGGGCCAGTGCTACCATTAAGGCAAACTAGGTGGTTGCCTAGGGCACCAAGATTTGGGGGCGCCAAAAAGCGGTGCCCCCAATTTTTTTTTTACAGCGTTCCTGGGCTGGGCTGCCGGCGGCACGCTGACACGTGTGGCTCAGACTTCCTCTCCCAGTGCAGCGGCTGCTCCATGCAATTATTGTCATTGCTGGCCGGGGTGGCGTGCTCGGGGAGGGGGCGTAGCAGAGATGAGCTGGGGTGGGGAGCCCTGTGGCAGCTCCCCCCTGCCCTGAGGCACCCCCCCTCTGCTGCAGCTGCCCACGCCCCCGGCCCAGGGAGCCGTGCGGCAGCTCTCCACCCCAGCTCATCTCTGCTACGCCCCCTCCCCGAGCGCGCGGGCGCTGCTCCACTTCTCCCGCCTCCCAGGCTTGCAGCACCAATCAGCTGTTTGGCGCCGCAAGCCTGAGAGGGGAGGAGAATTAGAGCGGGGGCGGCGTGCTCGGGGGATAGGCGGAGCAGAGGTGAGCTGGGGTGGGGAG